TCTTTTAGCGGCCCAAGACACAGCTAACGCTTCTAGCTCAGTTTGTCAATAACCTTGTTCAGTAACAGTAATTCTGCATGAAACAGAGATAACTGGTCTACCTTTCTGCTCCAAAACTGAGCCAATACCCATAGATGATGCATCAATAATAAGTAAAGGATGTACACTGGGTGAGTACGTTCAAAGGATAGCATCACTTTGAAGAAACCTTACTAGACTTCGTAAGAATGACTCTTGTTCCTCAAACCATTTGATTAAACTGGATGTCAAAATACTAAATAAACAATTTGCATGACAAGAAAAATTATGAACAAAACGAGAATAGTATTGGGAAGCACCCACTGGTGAACGTAGTTCTGTAAGATTTTTTGGGGACGGTGGATTTATCGGTGTAGCTAGGCGTTTCATATCTGTTCTAAAACCATTACCATCAACAAGGTATCCACGACATACACAAAATGAATACTTATTTGTATTTACCGTGATATTCTCAATTAAACGACGCAATAAAGCAATAAGTCTCCGGTCGTGAGCCGTTTTATCAGACCGATAAGCAATGATATCATTTTGATAAACTTCAACACCGTCTAGATCACTGACTACCTTATTCACAACTTCTCAAAATGTGGCTGAAGAACAACTTAGACCAAATGGAAGGAAGTTGTTTCTGAACGGCCCAATAGAAGTATTAAATGTTGTCAAAATAGATGAAGATTTATCAAAAAGATTAGAAGATAAGCATCTTTTAAGTCAACCTTCGAGAACATTTTAGAACCATGAAGTCGATTTAAAATATCTTCAGCCTCTACCGTCGTGCACGTTTGTTTCAACAAACGGGAGTTCAATGTTAATCCAAAGTCACCACATATTCTAGGGGTCTTGTCATCCGACTTCGATGGCGTAACATTAGGTGTACCCCATGCTGAAGACTGAATCGGTTCAATTATGCCTTCCGTACACAAATCGTTCAATGTCTAATGTAATGTTTCCTGACGACCATAAGGAGTTATTCGTCTTTTAAGAATGACTGTACCACCCTGTACCTGAAGTGTTATAGGCTAAATTATCATATCTCCACTTCACTCAGCACACGCAGATATCAAATCATTGGGTAAAGCATCTGAATTTTCTTTAGAAACGGACAAATGCAACTCCACCTTAAGACTTTTCAAATTTTTTACACCCAGTATTGACAGTCCTGTTTCTCTAACTGAAACTTCACAAGGCATGTATGAAGAATTATCATCTCTTATTAACAACTCACAGTATGCTCATATTGGCAGTGTGCGTCCAGTAATCCTCGATATTGAGACTTCAGTGATTCGAAACACAACGATAAGATCTAAAGAATTCCTGTTCTTGAATGAAATAGTGGACTCTATACTGTTTGTGTCTACAATTAAGTCATGAAATGAGTCATGGGATGTATATAATCGCTTTTGAATATAAGCAATATAGCTTTTGAAGCGGTTACTTAAATACTTACTTACTTAAGCCTGTTACTCCTCGTGAAGAACCATAGGCCGCTCACCGGCACACTCCATCCAACCCTGTCCTGGGAAGTCCTCTCCAGATCTTTCCAGTTGTTATTTATCCTTTTCATATCTGCTTCTATTTCCCGACGCAATGTGTTCTTTGGCCTTCCTCTTTTTCGCTTCCCTTCAGGATTCCAAGTCAGGGCTTGCCTCGTGATGCAGTTTGACGATTTGCGTAATGTATGTTCTATCCATTTCTATCGTATTTTCCTAATTTGTTCTTCAGCTGGAAGTTGGTTTGTTCTCTCCCACAGAAGGCTATTGCTGATGGTATCCGGCCAATGGATGTTGAGTATCTTGCGTAGATAGCTATTTATAAATACTTGAATCTTCTTGATGATGGTTGTTGTAGTTCTCCAAGTTTCAGCTCCGTACAATGAACTGACTGTTTTGACGTTCGTATTGAATATTCTCAATCTGATATTGGTTGAAATTTGTTTCGAGCTCCATATGTTCTTCACTTGTAGGAATTCGGCCCATTCTTTACCAATCCTCGCCTTTACATCTGCATCTGAACTTCCTTGTTCATCGTTGATGCTTCCTAGGTATGTGAAGGACTCTACATCTTCCAGAGTTTCGCCATCAAGAGTGATTGGATTACCGTTCTTCGTTTTGAAATTCACGACCTTGATTTTCTCCTTGTGAATGCTGAGGCCTACTGATGCAGAGACTGCTGCCACACTGGCTGTCTTCATCTGCATCTGTTCGTGTGTATGCGATAGGAGGGATAGGTCATCTGCGAGGTCCAAATCGTCTAATTGGTTCTGAGCTGTTCATTGTATGCCATATTTTCCATCAGATGTCGAGGTCTTCATCATCCAGTCGACCACCAGAAGAAAGAGCAATGGAGAGAGTAGACAGCCTTGTGTGACCCCGGTCCTTACTTTGAATGCATCTGTCAGCTGTCCTCCATGCACGACTTTGCATAGTAGTCCGTCGTATGAGTGCCGGATAATATTGACAATCTTCTCAGGAACTCCGTAGTGTCGAAGAAGTTTCCATAACGTTCTCCTATCTACACTGTCAAATGCCTTTTCACAATCAATGAAGTTGATGTATAGTGACGAGTTCCACTCAACTGATTGTTCGGCGATGATCCGTAGTGTTGGAATTTGGTCTGTGCACGACCGATCCTTACGGAATCCAGCTTGTTGATCTCAAAGTTGGGCGTCTAGTGCATCCTTCATCCGGTTCAGCAACACTCTGTTGAAGACTTTCTCTGGTATTGACAGTAGTGTGATGCCTCTGTAGTTTTCACATTTGCTCGAATCTCCTTTCTTTCGAATCTTGACGAGGTGTCCTTCTTTCCAATCCATCAGCAAATCTTTTTGAATAGAAGGTCAAGCATGCTTGTGGTTACTTTGATGTCTGACTTCAGTGCTTCAACTGGTATGTTGTCGGGTCCTGCTGCTTTCCCGTTCTTGATTTGTATGACGGCCATTCTGATTTCTTCCGTCGTTGGAGGGTTGACATCTATAGGAAGATCTGTGTGTGTTGCTTCGATGTCCGATGGATTCATTGGAGCTGGCCTATTCAGGAGTTCCTCCAAGTATTCTACCCATCTGTTTCGCTGTTGTTGAATTTCAATGATTGGCTTGCCTTCTTTGTCTTTGACCGGTATCTCTGGTTTACTGTATTTCCTTGCTAGTTTCTTCGTTGTATCGTGAAGCTGTTTCATATTTCCTTCTCTTGCAGCTTTTTCTGCCGTCGTTGCTAATTCTTCCACGTATTTCTTCTTGTCGGCCCCAATGCTTTTCTTCACTTGCTTGTTTGTTTCTATGTATTCAGCTTGTGCTTGGACTTTCTCTGCTCGTGTTCGGCTGTTGTTTATTGCTGCCTTCTTGTTCTTCCTTTCTTTGATCTTGTCCAGTGTTTCTATAGAGATCCACTCCTTATAGTGGTGTTTCTTTAGGCCCAGAACCTCTTGACACGTTGAAGTCAATGTTTCTTTGATACCTTTCCAGTTGTCTTTTATAGTAGTTTCTTCTTTCAGTAGATCTTGTAAGGCTTGGAACCTGTTGTTGAGAGCTATCTTGAATTCACTAAGTTTGTCAGTATCTCGAAGGAAGGCTGTATTGAACCTTTGTAGTGCTGTTTGTCTAGTTGTCCAGTTCTGTTTTAGCTTCAGTTTTAAATTGGCTGCAAGTAGGTATTATATCAAACAATCAATTTCGCCAAAACGAGTAATTTTCAAAAAAATTTGTTCTTCAATTCTAATGTTTAGTAGTAGAAAAAAAGATATTTTGCCTACATTAGGTTCTTTTTGGATAAGGTTCTGTAATAAAGAACACAAAGTTAATCATGACTGGACTTGTTAACGCATTAACTTAACGACTTTGATTTTCAATGAAATATTCATATTCAGTCAATGATGTATACAAAATTATTCCTTCATTCATTTGAAACTAGAAGTTTTAATAAGCAATGATGGATGGTGGCTAGCAGTGGAATCCAGGACGCGCGTTTCGTTCTATTTGGGACTCGTCAGCAGGATGTGCCTGCATCAGAATTGACGTTCACTCTGGGACTCGAGCCCAGTACCATTCACTCAAACGCCATCGCGTTATCCACTTAGCTACTGAGTTTGATAGCCACTTGCTTGTGCACATGGGGTGAATTTAAATCCACTTGGTATTGCTTGGCTTGTATTTTCCCATTGAGGTTTAAAGCTGCAAATGATCAGTCCGTTATTGGCATATGTGCATACTGTGCGTATGCCTCGATATTGCCTTAATTCACAAGCTTTTTTTAAACAATGATGTATAGTGGTTAGTAGTGAAATTCAGGACTCGCGTTTCGTCCTATTTAGGACTCATTTTAATGAATAAATGAGTGATTCCATCAACAAATTAAATCATCATTCTATAAAAGACATCTTATTATTGATAATAACATTAATTGATTACATATTGGAAACTAATGTCACATTTATTTAGCGCCTAATGTCTATTAAAACGTTAATCATTAAATTATTACATGTAATCCATTGTTTTGATTGAGTAGATACTACTTATTTTGTTAAACTAGTAATAACTTAATATTCTACAATCACACATATAACATCATATGTAACATTAATGAAATATTTATTTCAACCCATATTATTACAAAATTACAATTCCGAAATGTTAGCCTCTTTATTATGCTAATTATTATAATTAACATTTTATTGTAATGAGTACAAAACAAACTTAGACTAATGAGATGTCATTTACAGAACACTTGAATTTGTAATATAGTAAGCTTAATAAAAAAAGAAGAAGAAAACAAGCTGACATTATATCATTAGTGAAATAATGATTAAATTCCATACGAGTTGTTTTTCTTTTAATTAGCCAATAGTTTGGTTGTCACATTTTTGTTGCTTTTGTTGTTTTTATTTGTCACTAAGTTTATCATTATCAACGTTTACTGATTATCAATAGTATAAAAGCGGATCATCAAAATGATTAGTTTCATTAAATAATGTTTCATTCATTATTATTCAATATCATTGTGTTACATTTGATCATACTTGTTTCAATACAAGTTGGTAAGTTTTATAATACATTTAAATGATATTTACATAATTATACTATTTATGCCTTACTTACTTACTTACGCCTGTTACTCCTAATGGAGCATAGGCCGCTGACCAGCATTCTCCAACCCACTCTATCCTGGGCCTTCTTTTCTAGTTCCATTCAATTCTTGTTTATTTTACTCATGTCTATCTCCATTTCACGGAGTGATGTGTTCTTTGGTCTTCCTCTTCTCCTCCTTTGGCCTTGAGGATTCCATATGAGGGCTTGTCTTGTGACGCAGTTGGGTGCTTTCCTCAATGTGTGTCCTATCCACTTCCAGAGCATCTTGCTGATTTCTTCCTCCGCTGGGATCTGGATACTATTTATAAAGTGTATAATTAATATGATACTTGTTATGAGAAGATGGAGTTGATCAGATCAACTCCATGTTCTTATTGTTCTATCAAAATTTATAAAAAGGACTAATTGCTATAGATACTTGTTCTATCTGATCGTTGTTGGTTGTTGTGTCAGTGCTAAATGATGCCATGTTTTAGTAATTATTTATTTTCTGATCAACTTTCACTTATAGTAAATAGTTTATCTAAAGATTGGAAAGCTAAATTTTAGTCTACTCATTTAACCGATAGAATAGAAACTATGTTTTCAGTCAATAGATTCGTGTTAATGGATAACGGGTGAAAATGTTTGAGTTTTATAAAGGCAAAGCTCATTCCTTGTTCATGGAGTTGTTTAATGTTTCTTTTGAATCAAATTGAGTAGATATACAAATAGTTAATGTTTTTTTTTCAGTTAAAAAATGATTCTTGTCAAGAGTAAATGGTTCATTTTGAAATGAAATTGAATGTATCATTATGATGATTAATTTTGTATATATATTGTCGAACTTATTGATGTATGGAAAATAACAGGTGGATATTAGTGAAGAGCATATGAACACAACTCCGCCTGTAGCTTTTCTAGAGTTACTGGCGGTCTCAACCCCAGATAAAAAGGGAGGGTTACGCATGGGGTCAATAACAGCAACCCATAGAAGAGGTCTTGCTAAAAAAACGCTAACCAGATTAAACAAATTAAACTATATGAACACGGTTAATAGTATTGAATACTTAGTAGTATTAGTACAATTTGCATGTAACTATTTTTAAAGTTTATTCCATGAACCTGAAAGTTCTCAATATACTACTTGATTAACATTATTTAAACCTGAGTTCTTCGTTTAAATCTCATAGAAAGTAAGATGAAAGTAAAGAATAGCTTTTTATAATGTAACCATATACCCGAATTCAAATATTCATATTTTCAAATAAACTTATTTATGTTCAATTTATAGATGGTAAAAGACAGGAGCTACATAGTTTCGGAAATCCAGAGGTCATTTTACGAAAGCTACGAGGTAATTAGATAATAGACTGATAGATGTGTTTAAACTTTATGTAGTCCCTGAGTGTGAATAGAATAAGATATATCAACAAAATCGTCATCACTAATACATAAAATTACATGATTAATGCACTTTTGAATCTGAATAGTGATATAATGATTTTGTTCGTTTATTGACAGGTTATTAATAAATGTATTCTGAACAAATATATAACTATACTACTTAATCAATGAATTACGATTCTATAACTATCCCAATCATACCGTTTAGTCTTCATGTTTGACAACACTCTTAAATCAGCTGACTTAACGCTCTAAGGATTTGATTTGTATTCGACATGCAAACAATCAAGTTGAATAAGTATATTGATGTGACGTTGTGGAGACAACTAAACGTGGAACGATACGTTAATCAAAATTCCTGACATTCAAAAACATTATGGAATGTATAGAACAATGTAAATAGAGATAGAACAACTATTTTGTTATAATAAATATACATATATAGATTAGATAAATAGATTAGAACAAAAGAATACCCAAAGCCGATCACTTAACTGATATCATTTTAACATATACTTCACAAATATGTCAAATGAAATGGGCTTAAAAGTAACTATCTAAACTGATAAATTTTAATTAGAAGTAATTGATCAAGCTTTTAAAATGAACTAATATTTAATTTGCAGTTAACTTAGGCGAATTCGCACAGAGTCTACATCATGCAGATTATCAAGTACAGCAAGAAATGGGTAATTTATTCATAAATTCATATATATAAATGATTTTTACTTGAAAGGCTGATTTCTATTAATAACACTTTAATTTTGTATCAAAAAAATGTACCCATCACAATAAGGCACAAAGAATATCAATAGTGTTGTGATTTTGAACCCGGCTAATTATGACGTGATTTATTCCTCAATTGACTTGTATGAGCAGCCTAGTGTTCTTATTTGTTTTCTGTTTTTGTTCGCCTAACCCATCTAATTGAGTCCAGAACGTCAATAACAGCTTCTACTACACGAATCATTTATTTCAAACATATATGGTTTATATACCAGCTAAACAAACCCCATTACACCATGAAATAGGAAATAACATTTACACAAGATCAAGTCAAAATGTGGCTGTGAACATGGGAGACAGTAATTAATCAAATGAGTATAATTTAAGAACAGTAAATCTCAGCATAATAGTCTATGGGTCAAAATGAAGCTTATAATAAGAGGAATATAGATATACATAATCGAATTATTGAACAGTTATACAACAGGAATATATATATATATAATATTAGTTCATCAATAGTTCTCAGAAGTTACTCGTAATGTAATCTTCACTAGGATATAACAAGTAGAATAAACTACGAATTATTGTAGGCAACAAAATGTATCAGCAGATCGGATCTACTAGACAGATAGATTTTAAACAATTAAAAAACATTCGTTTATTTCTGATAAATAAATCTGAACTATTTCAAGCAGCTATTTAATGATTAGATCATGTCAATTTGATCAGTAGTTAATAGTAATTATTAGTAGTATAGAACTGACTGCCAACTATTTATGTTTATCAAGAAAGTTTATTTCGGAAGTGGGTTTTTTTCGTCGATATTATATTAATTTTAATAGTTGAGATCACGAGTCAATTGAAGCTGGACCATCATGGAAAACCTAGAAGAAGTGTGTCACTAAATTTCGTGGATTAGTTGAAGTTAGGCATTAACACCGTTGAATGCTGGATTAGTGGTCTAGAGATGAAACGTTCTCTTGTGAGATCGATAGATCCTGTATTTGAATCTCACGTAACGGAATCATGAATGTGCACTGCTGAGGAGTCTCACAATAGGACGAGATGGCCATCCAGTACTTTCAGGTTTTTCATAACGGTCTAGCTACAATTGATTCATGATTTAAGTTTATTTGATAGTAGAAAAATAAACTTAAGTTATCCTGAATTCATTGTGAAATAACACTGGTGTTATATATTTATCGGTTATAATATACTTTATATTATATTAAATTTTAGATAGACTTCTCCGAATATATTCAATTGAGGAAAAAGTATTCGCGAAATGTATGTGAAAATACAATGAATACTCTAATAATAATGATGAATTTTAGATATTAAATGCTTTGATTTATCAGCACATTTACTTTATAAAACTAATTTTGGACAAGGTACAAAAATGTTTTCAAAATATTGTTTTATCTTTCATTAAAAATAAGTGTACTATATTTTATCTATATTTCTATATAAATTCATTGTATACCTATCTTATAAGATAGTTTAACATTCCCAAATTCATTTTATGACCTAATACTATGAAGCATTATTGTCTGAGTTTTTGATTAAGATCATGAATCGATGAATGTTAGACTATTATTGAAAACCTGAAAATACTGGATGACTATTTGTTCCTAGTATGAAACTCTTTAGCAATGTGAATCCACAGTCGTGTACATGAGAAGATAGTCGTGCGACATCATGGATTAAGTTGAAGTTAGACATGAACATGGTCTGGAGGTTAGACGTTTTCATGAGAGACCGAAGATCTTGAGTTCGAATCCTACATGCAGGATTGTAGTTAATTACTACTGAGTCATCCCATACTAGGACGAAACAGTCGTTCATTGCTTTCATATTTTCAATGTTAGTTTAACATTCATCGATTCATGATCACAATAAAAAAAAAACACAACAATCTCCACAACCTAATACTAATTTGTATGTTATATTCCATGAGGTTATAATCTGTAATAAATTTTACTTAATTAATATTATATCCAAGTATATTGAATGGGCAAGTCTCAAATGACTAGATAAACATATATTTACATAATCTAAGTATCAATTACGTAGAATTTATGATTCTATAAGTGAATTTTTTGTTTATGTGAAATTGTATTACTATTTTCAATTAAAATATTTTAGGTTTGGATAAATTAGTTGGTTCAGTGATGAACAAAGACGGTATGTGTTTCAGTTAGCTAATAAATATGTATTATTGAAAGATATACAATTTTTTTTGAACAATATTTATAATCTTTATATGCAGTGATAGATAATGGCTAGCAATAGAATCTAGGTTGCATGTTTCATCCTATTTGGGACTCGTCAATTGAATATACCTACATCTTAGAGTTAATGTTTACTCTGTGACTTGAACTCAGTACCGTTGACTTCAAATATCATTGTGTTATCCATTTAGCTACTTAGTCCTGATAGCCACTTACTTGTGTAATAGGGATGATACAAGCAAACAAAACCAAGTGAATTTAGTATTTATAATCTATTGAAAATTCATCATTAATTAAACAATTAAACAATGTTGAATAAAAAGTTTTTTTGATTTAGATATTTAGTGTATTTAATTGAGAAAGAATGTTATTTATATCAATTTTTATGATGGTTTAAGATGAACAATCTATTTATTCATTGATTATACTCAGTATAGAAGCGAAAGTCGCAAAATCTTCACGTCGCTATAAATGTTTGCAAAAGGAACTAAAAAAAATCGAAAGTAAGAGCAAATAATCAAAACTACATGGTTAAATGTTTTAATTCTATTTATCATTTGATTTTTTTTAAAAACTTATCAGTATAGGGGTTATGGAGATAAGTAGGTTTTTGGTTGAGATCATGAACCGATTAATGTTAGACTACCATTGAAAACCTGGAAACACTTGACGGCCGTTTTGTCCTATTGTGGGACTGCTCGTCAGTGCGTATCCACGATCCCGCCAAGCAGAATTCGAACCCAGAGCCTCCAGTCTCGCCCACGAACGTCTAACCTACTAGACCACTGAGCCGGCATCCAATGGTGTTAGTGTCTAACCTCGAACCTGGGTTCAAATCTTGCGAGGCGGGATAGTGGATGCGCACGACTGAGGAGTACCACAATAGGACGAAACGGCCTTCCAGCGCTCCCAGGTTTTTGATGGTGGTCTAACATCAACCGGTTCATGCTCTCAATTAAAAACAAACTTACTAATTTGCATAATCTAATGTTTTCATGTTATTCAAATAACAAGGATTTCAACTTCTTGTTAATCTACCTAACTAAAATATTATATAATTCTTAGACGAACATTACTAGTGTTAGTTGAATAAACAAATGTCTCGTATATTCTAAGTGTTAAAAGTCATCCTTATTTCGAAATTCGTAATAGTAATTGTATTCAGTTGGAATGGATTGTTAACAGAATCAGAGTCCTCTTGGGAAACAGATATTTTATGAAGTGAATTATGTAAACCGATAACTTACATTCGTTATTATTTCATGGTGGCAATAATGATAACAGATAATATATTTCATTTTCACTATCTTGTATAACATACAAACCTCTTAGTTTCGATAACTAATGTTGGCGGTGTATTAAACATCGAAATTGTGTGTGTAATCCGTCTAGAATAAGCTAATCACACATACTGAATTAATTTAGTATGATAGTACTAGGAAACGTACCCTCGAATACAATCCAATACTGGAATTCGGATGAAAGGTAATTTCCAAATATAATCAGCCGATATTTTTTAAAAGCACGAAAGATCTATACAATAAGTGATTCAATACCATTTTGGTCCAATAACCGGTAATTTTGGAAAGAAATGTCTTTATCCAAATAATTTACAATTAAAGAAGGAACGAATTGAGCGAAGAAATTTCTTCGCTCAATTCGTCCCTTCTTTATTTACCAAATGGCAAAATGGGAATTTTCACTATAATTTACAATTATTGACTGCGGGATAGTTATGTTTTTTCGACTAGCCTTAGCTGCAAGACATAACATCATAATGTCTTAAAAGAGCTGAATCTACTGACTATTTGTCACTTTCCAAAGCATACATATAGTTTTCTTGATTGAATGATAAAATCATTCTCATTTTGTCTTACCTGGTAACAAAATTCATTATTATAAACAATTACGACATCTGTGGTTACATCTTATTCTCATTTAAAAATCTTGTGTTTATATTTACATGAATGGTAGTTGAGTTTGAATGTCTGTAATCCACAGCAATCTGTTTTCTAAACAAATTTTGAATTGCTTATGAAAAGCAGCTTACTTCATAAATTTTTGCAATTATATAGAAAAGGCGGCTAAGCACAGCGGAATGCAATGTGAAATCCCTACAGGACTGAATTACAAAGGTAAGCTGAAATGAACCACCCATTTAATTATTATACAAGTGGCAATTGTAGGTGAATATTGAAGCTGTTTTTCAAGAGTCTTTCTTCAAGTACTGACTAAACAATACGGCTCAAAGAACTAAACAACACCGAAATCATTTACATAGTAATTCTAAATAGATAATAATTCACTTAAACAGACGTTTCATTAAATGAAACCAACATTAAATATTTTAACAAGACTGAGATACTACTACCGGTCTAATGACGATAGAGCTTGACTGGGATGAAATATAACTTTCTGAATTAATCTGGATAACTGTATTTTGACTGACCTCATTATGTAACTAGATTGACTTCAATGGCATGATATTTTTAGAGTCTGATGAGAAATATTTCGAAGATACTTATTCATCAGACACACATCTTAGCAAACAAATCATATTGAAGTAAGATGAACAAATTGATGAAGCATGAATGTTGGCTAATAACCAAATCACAGAATGAATTCGATACTCAGTTTATATATCTATTCATTGAGTACAATGAATAAATACGAAAGCTTATGTGAGGATACACAGAAATATACGGAAAATGACATTATAAAAAGCACAATCAAGTTAGAGGATTGATAAGGACACATATTACATGGTCACCAAATAAGAGTTATTTGTGATAGGATTTATTTAATATCCCATTTCCTCAAAATAATAACAAGTTCACATATGGGCATAATCAAATAATATGCTTGTAATAGTTTGTTATTTCACAAATCATACTGGTAACTTGTTCATAACAATAATGAACTATTATCAGAATTGGTTTTGTGGAGATTTTTAGAAATTTCACTGGTTGGAATCATGAGTCAATTGAAGCTAGACCACCATGGAAAACCTGGAAGCACTGGACTGCCGTTTCGTCCTATCGTGGGACTTCTCAGCAGTGCGCATCCACGATCCCGCACCCCGCGAGCTTCGAACCCAGGACCTACTGGCTTCGCGCGCGAGCACTTAACCATTAGACCACTGAACCGGCATCCAACGATGAGCACTACTGAGGAGTCCCATACCAGGACGAAACCGTCGTCCAGTGCTTCCAGGTTTTCCATGGTGGTCTAGCTTCAATTGACTCATGATTTCAACCAGTGAAATAATGAACTAATTAACTAACAACAATATCATCTAAGTATTTGTGTACAGTTTCGATAGCATACACATATGTACATGATTAGTTTTAATCTGTTTCATGAATTTAGACTTATGAATAAATGATAGATTACAAATGCAAATATGAATACACACTCAATATTTTCATATGTTTCAGACATGGAAACTTTAATTGACTTGAGTAGAAATAAATACAAAATTATCAACAGTTACAACGAAAATTTGTGTAAGTAATAGTCAACAAAACTTTATTTGATAAAATAAATATTCTTTATTAAATAATATATTCACTAAACTTAAAACAGTATACGAATGTTTATGCAAATTTCATATTGTAATACTTAATGTACATTTTGGACTAAATGAAATAAAAGAATGTACTATTCACTAATATATTAAGTAACATTGGATTGACCAGTGGAGTTCAGTCGGGTCAGTTGTGATATAGTAACTCACTGATGAAAACGATGGACGTGTCAATCAATTTCGTGGATTAGTTGAAGTTAGACATTAACACCGTTAGATACCCATCGGCTCAATGGTCTAGTGATTAAGTGCTCATGCGAGAGACCAGTAGGTTCTGAGTTCGAATCCCGCGGGGCGGGATCGTGGATGCGTACTGCTGAGAGGTCCCACGATAGGACGAAACGGCCGTCCAGTGTTTCCAGGTTTTCCTTGGTGGTCTACTAACTTTAACATAAAAAGGTTTCATAAAGTTAATTGATGAGTTTACATTATTTGTTATACCTCACAATGATTTACTCAGTGTTTATTCGCAAACATTTCAGTTAAATACGGACTTATATTAGATTTTGTCAACAAAGCCAAACCGAGTAAGTTAATTTCATATCGATTTCATATTGACTAATTAAGCATTTATAAAAATGATGAAAAATTCAATGATAGTTTCGAGGAATCTAGGTGTATAAGAAAAAGAATGTAAAATGGTAATTGTACAGCATTAGACTTCAGTGTAAACCAAGGAGATTTAAATTATTGTATTTGGTTTCATCTCGGTTGAGCGATTAAAACTGTAGATAATAGGTTCACATCTCATTATAAGCATCAACAGTGTGAAGTAAATATATTTAAATGACGCGACATAAGAAAACAAAACTCGCTTCCTGGATCTCACTATTAGCCGCAATCTAAACGATAGAATATTCCTTGATAATTATCAGTCGTATAACAGGTAAACAAGTGCATTCTTTTGACTTAATTCACAGAAAATAACAAGCATTTCTTAACTGTGATCATTTTGCATGATTTCACTAAAATCCATGATTTTGTTTATTATAGATAATGCATGAAAGTGATCAAAGTCACGTTTTCTTATGATGAGAATTAGTATAAATTCCATAATTTATGTCATTCGAAAACGTTTCAATAAATGGTTTTAATGGAATTTCGTCAATTTCATTTTCCTTGCTTTTAAACTTGATTTACAGTTTTAGTGGCTCTAGACCTGACTCCAGTTAGATAATGTGAATGATTTTTATTGAAACATACATTTCGCCAGTCCTTGCATATAATTATCGACTTAACTGGCGTTAGTGAATAACGCAATTAAATAAGTCAAATACGAGAATGAATTTTGAATACGTATATTTCATACAATCGTTGAGATCTCACTAAGTAACAGAGTCGCCAAGTAATACGCGATTTGTAATCAGATGTTTGAATGTGGTGACATCATTCCATCTATCGCCACTCATCCATAACACGCATTGATACAACTTAGAATTACTAATATGTGAGCGAAACCTCAAAGATAATACTGATCCTACACAGAATTTCGCACAACACCCTCAGTTGTCATGTAGGCTGGCATAACTAACTGTACATTTCACTTTATTAGGGTTTGTGGGGGTAATTAACATAGGCTTATTTTGTAATTAGTCTGTTATTATTCACTTTCTTTAAACTTCCGATTAATAAAAAAAATTCACCACAAAATAAGTCCGTGTTAACTATCCTCATGGGTTCGTCTTATTTACCATGTTACCATCATCGTTCACACAACTATACAGACACACGAATTATTCGACTATTCGAGGAGTTCACTACAAGTGCTGAGTGCAAACATGTTTTTCTGTCAGTGTTGCGGAAGAATCCTGAGTTTGTTTTGAGATGAAATATGGTCAATGCTTTTACTACTAGAATGAATACCGTCTAAGTCACCACAACCCAATCTTTCACCAGTTTTTTCACAACCTGAATAGCATAACGTTGGTAAACAGTTTGAGAATAATCACAAATAGTCTTGTTTAATGATATTTGACCCACAGATGAAATACGATCACAGTAATGATAAGGACGATAATCACAACGTTAGAAGATACCGAACAATGAACGAAATAGAGGACTGAGGAAGTGAAAACCAGAACAACAACAACCAGCTCACAGAGATGAAAGGGATGGGTGAATATCAGGTTACATCTACAAAACGCAAATTTACAAATCAAGCACAATTAAGCAAAGTGTTTCTTTGTTACCTCCTCTTTAGACTCACTGAGTTATACATTAGTCAATATGTCGATACAATAAACAGTATATTAGAAGATACTGGTGAAGATTATAACTGAATTATTCAATGTTATAAATCCACAAAAATAGTGATGTTCATGTCCATTGCTTTGAATGCTGAAATAATGTGTCCATTGTTGCATTTGAAGTTTAAACATTAAAGAGTAAGTTAAGTAAGCAGTGGAGATCTTTGGTCCATAAAAAGCGAGTAATCGATGAACGTGATGATACTGATCAAAATATATCGTGGTTATTGTGGCGAGAATAATAATAACAATCATTAGAAAGATAAGTGTCAAATAAGCGCTCATCGGAGGTAGACTGGGATAACGCTAAAATTTGATTATGTTACACGACGAATTAACACGTTCTCTGACGTAGAATGACAATTTGACACTATCAAGATATGTTCTGCGTCTCATACGATGATATATAACATAACACAACAGATAATTCTTCAAAATACAGATTTACTCGCGTCATAAACGTTTTAGGATAGCCGAACAGTTCGACATTCGGAATTTGTTTCGACATCCAATATACAAGTGTGAATTTTCGTTCCCGTAACTCACAAAAAAGCATCCAAACGTATGTAAACACAGTCAAGTCCAAGTGAAAATATCCACCACAGCGCAAACACATACATACGAAAGCAAAAACAACAGAAAAATAAAAAGTAGACCGACAGAAGCATATTCCGAAAAGATTTAATCTGAAAACCCATTATTTGTAGGGTAGCTAAACAATTCCTGAAAATGTATAGTAATATCATACAAGAAAACATGACGAACTAAAAGTAAACCTACTAAACAATGAAAATTATGTTGGCCATGTCCTCTGCAACTTAATCATCTGATCGTGCTATCTTCAACTGACACAGTCAGTCACGTGAAATTCATTGTGCCTGTTGGTATGATCCAGAAAATTTCTCTCTAAAGACAAGAAAGGATCAGGAAAACACTAAGAAGCATTTTATGCAATCAGCGTTCACTAGAAGTTTAGCCAGAAACATCAAGAAAGTGAAAAGTCACATGTAGAGTTTCTGATTGTTTGATTACTATACTGCTACTATGTTTAGTAGCATTTCAGAATTTTTGGGAAACCCGAGGACTTTAAAGCAATTAGTCCCTTTTATAAATTTCGATAGAACAGTGCGAAGACGGAGTTGATCTGAAAAATGTGATGTACTTGCGCTATACATTTCGAACAATCTGGTAGGAGGTAGAAAACCAAGTTCATCGATAGCGAAACATAATTGAGATGGGGCACAAAATTAACGTTAATACAGCATTTAGAACGTCATATGGAAATTGTCAAGGACGAATTCTTATGTTTATTGAAGCCTTGGCTATTCGTAAATTTAAGCCCCCCTTATGTGTACAAAACAATTTTTCGTAACCTTGCATTTACATTGGTAATCCTTAAGTCATTATATGGCCTAGGATAACGCGACAATTTCTCATTATTTCTCTCCCTTTAGTTATTTTAAATGAACTTTATTTGTTTGACCTTTAGTATTTTCATATAAAAATGCCCTGACAAGTATACGTGTGACCAGATTGTTCGAAATGTATAGCGAAACACAAAGACATCTAAAATATTGTATTAGAATTAACAACGGAAATCAGAACAGACTCACCTGGGTTTAGGGGATGTGTATAATCATCGTGTCGCATGGGTACCGAAGCCACTAATATCTAGGAGTTGAACCATAAACTTTCAGACTATCCTCCCATACGAAATAATGTTGGATCTTCATATTCCCAAGTTATGAATGACGTGGCTTCATTTAAAACATATTTCTCACATTGACTAGAGTAAACATTAGAAGTGACTTTGCGATAAGGATAAACAGCAGTTGACATGGAATTATCCGAATTGTAATCAAACTCTAGCTCATTTAGTACTTGTGCATCGCATTGAACAAGTTTCCTACAAGCAACAAATGCATTATCAGCACAAATAATATTTGACATGACATCAAAATTTGATAATTTCCGAAATGATTTTCATCAAATTTATTAAGAATGTCATTGCAAAGTAAAGGATCATCAGCGAAATCAGCATCTATCAAAACACCATCAGGTTTTCGATCATGACTAGGTTCACTCAACATATTTTCCTCACATTTGCAAGGAATTTCATCAGAAATATGTGAATCATTAGTAAAGAAACCATATCTCGTACAATAACATGCGAAATCTGATAAGTTGACTGATTAGAAAGTGTTGTCTTGCAAGGATCCTGAGTTTCGTTTAACTCTGAACTGCTATATGAATCTACACTATCTATTGCAATCGTTGATGAAGATAAATCTTCATTATAAATACTCGACTTAATAGAATCAGAATTGAAAGACGTAATATTAGTTGCAGCAAGATGAACAATGATATTACAATTTGACTCATTATGTCCATGAATCATTTTACGAAATCTTCCTCCTTTACCGCATTAGAAATTTGTGTACTTAACATAGTCTAGCAGCAGTTTCTTGAGAGTTAAGCTAGAGTTTTTAATAAGCTGTGTACTTCTTTTCCGATGAATGTGAGGAAATGTGCCACAATATTAACATCCTCATCATCTTCCTTGATCATAGCCCAGATTGCGAACCTTTCAAAGTTATCCTCTGGAGATAAGCATGACAAATGTATTTTGTAAATAGTTTTTGATGTTATTTTATTTATACTGTAATTTTCCACAGCCTGTAC